GAGGTTGGATGAACACCTGCCTGGGGTCGTGTGATCCCAGTGTGTGCTTCAGCCAGTGGTGGGGGTTAGACTAGATGTTTGGGGTCAGAAGGGACCTAAATAGATCTACTATGAAACTATGAAATGCCAAAATACATAGGTATTTAAAATTTATTTTATTATAGTGATTGAGGCACTGGTAGGCTTCCAAATTGCTTTAAAATTGTAAATATATCAATAAACATTGATACCAACCCAACCCCTCTATGCTCTAGGCATAGAAATGACTAGCTACGCTTTTAACCCCACCCCCTCCCTTGTTTGTGCTCCCTGGACTTGGCAAGTGATCTAGGCATCTGGGGTTATGGGGAAGCAGAGCTACTAGCATGCCTTTCATACTTCCTGAGCACCATGTAGCAGTGAAGCTGCTCAAGCTGGAAGCATTTGTGAAGCAGATCAAGGCTGAGGGGAGCTTGGGGTTTGCAGCCACTGCTGTGGCACCTGTCACTTCTGCTGCACCCCCCCACCCCGTTTTCAACTTCCTAGATCTGCCTATGACTCTGTGAATATGTATAGAGTCTTGTTACTTCTCCTTGTTGAAATATTTTATGAAAATATACTTTTGCATGCTTGAAACTGAAATGCTCCTGAAATTGAAATTCTAGCCCCATTGAAGCACATGACTTAAAGCACCTTCTACTAGGGGAGAGAGAATTGTAAATCACAATAATGATGTCGACTAGGAAATTCCAGAAGCTTTTTTAAATGTCATTTAGGCATCCACCTCACTTTGCATTTCACTGGGAGCTGGACATTGAAACTCATGATAAATATTGTTCAAATAGATTGCCACACAGTGAGCAAAAGATAATGCAATTCAATTCTTAGCTTAAAGTTGGATGTCCAGACTCAACATCTGACTGCATTTTAGATAGTGCAGCACCATAAACCACTTAGGCCCCCTCTACAGATTACAGGTATTGTCCAATTAACTGGTTAATTGTGCAATTACCTTGAGACCAGATACACATGCAAAGTAGCTGTCACAATAAAACACTCCAATCAGCTATAAAGTTAGACCTAAAAAATGTGTACTAACTTTATAGCTGGTTGCTAAGGAACTTTAATCTGCATGTATAGCAGGGTCTCCCCTGCAACTGGAAGCCCTGTCAGCTCTGGGCTCCCAGCCACAGGGATGCACCTTGCAAGGGCTGCAAGTCCCACAACTGATTGAGACTCTCAGCCCCAGAAGTTGCAGACTCTGATACCCAGCAGAGTCCCACAGCTGCAGATGCATCCATGGGGCAGGGAGATCACTACAGCAGTAATCCTCCTGCCCCAAGGGTTTCATGCACTCCCAGAATGGGAGGAGGGAGGGGAATTGCCACAGTGACAATGCTCTTGCCATGGGGATCATGCACCGCTGGGGCAAGAGATGGCTGCAGCACTGATCTCCCAACTGTAGTGTATACCTGGGGTGCTCCTGCAGCTGGGATCCCCTCAGCTGAGGGGGCTTCCAGTTGTGAGAGCTTGCTTGTGCAGGGGGGGCTCAGGATTGGGCCTTCACTGGCAATAAAGTGTGATGGAATCGAATGCACAATCTATAATCGCACTTCCTACTATGAGTGGCATGGCAGGAAGTGTGATTTTGTGGATGACACATTAGATCCCATTGTGCCTTTACCTATACATGTAGAGGGGGCCTTCGGCCCAGATTCTCAAAGGTCATTCCCATTTAGGTACTTAAAGTAGGCTCTGACCCAACCACTTTTCAGGGGGTAGATGAGATCAGGTATTGACAGTCCCCTAATGATGCAGCACAGATCTCCAGGATTCAGTTTTCTGGTCCTTTTGCTACTAACTTACTGCTCATCTCCTATGTGCTAGAACAGCAATTCTTAACCAAGGTGCCAGATCTTTTTAAGGGTGCCATGAGCTATGATGAGATAACTGAGGCATTAGCTGATAAGCAGAAAAAAAAAGTCAAGCAGATAAGCACAGACTCGGGCTTGTCCCTACCTGGATGATCCTTCACCCCCACTGTGAGGCCCCTCTGCAAAGAATTAAGCACTGTAATATATAAACTAGTTTTTGAAAGTGGATACTACTAATTTCACAAAACTTAAGGACATGTGCCTTGAATCTAATGAATAGTGCCTCAAGTCCAAAAAGGGTTGAGAACCACTGCACTAGAAGCTACCTGTGCATTTAAAACTTTACCCTAAAAAGCCCCTTGCCTCAATTTTGTGTTTAGCCCAGCCAAAGCTCTAGAACACCCAGCATGCTGCTCACTGGCTAGAGCACTCGTGGTGCTCTGGTGTGGTGCCAGAGGACTGGAAAAGGGCCAATGTGGTTCCCATTTTCAAAAAAGGGAGGAAGGAGGACCCAGGAAACTACAGGCCAGTTAGTCTTACCTCGATCCTGGGTAAGCTTCTTGAGAGAATTATCCTGGTACATGTCCACGAGGGGCCAGCAGGGGAGATTATGCTTAGGGGCAACCAACATGGGTTCATTAGAGGCAGGTCCTGTCAGACCAACCTGGTGGCCTTCTATGACCAGGTCACAAAATCCTTAGACACAGGTGTCGCGGTGGACGTAGTCTTTCTGGACTTTAGGAAGGCCTTCGGCACTGTCTCTCACCCCATTCTCATTAAAAAAACTAGGGGACTGTGGCATCGATACCTACACAGTCAAATGGGTCACTAACTGGCTGAAGGGCTGCACCCAGGGAGCGGTGGTGGGCGGGTCTTATTCGACCTGGAGGGATGTGGGCAGTGGGGTTCCCCAGGGCTTGGGCCCGCACTGTTCAACATCTTCATCAGCGACTTGGACAAGAGGGTAAAAAGCACTCTGTTCAAATTTGCAGATGACACTAAGATGTGGGGGGAAGTGGGCACGCTAGAAGGGAGGAATAGGCTGCAATCAGACCTCGACAGGTTACAGGGGTGGGCAGATGAGAACAGGATGGGTTTCAACACTGACAAGTGCAAGGTGCTGCACCTGGGGAGGAAGAACCAGCAGCATACCTACAGGCTGGGGAACTCCCTTCTTGTCAGTGCAGAGGCAGAAAAGGATCTTGGACTCCCCCTCTACGCGACACTGGTCAGGCCGCTGTTGCAGTACTGCATCCAGTTCTGGGCGCCGCACTTCAGGAGGGATGTGGACAGCATTGAGAGGGTTCAGAGGAGAGACACTCAGATGATCAGGGGGCAGCAGGACAGGCCCTATGAGGAGAGGCTGAGGGACCTGAACCTGGGTCAGCCTCCACAAGAGAAGGCTGAGGGGGGAGCTAGTGGCCATTTACAAACTAGTCAGAGGGGACCAGCAGGCATTGGGGGAGTCCCTGTTCCCCCGAGCACTACCACGAGTGACAAGAAATAATGGTCACAAGCTGGCAGAGAGTAGATTCAGACTAGACATCAGGAGGCACTACTTCACTGTCAGGGCGGCTAGGATCTGGAACCAACTTCCAAGAGAAGTGGTGCTGACTCCTACCCCGGGGGGGGTTGGGGGGGGCAGTGTCTTTAAAAGGAGGCTGGATGAACACCTTGCCAGGGTCGTTTGATCCCAGTACTCTTTCCTGCCATGGCAGGGGGGCAGACTTGATGATCTGCTTAGGTCCCTTCTGACCCTACAACTATGAAAAACATTCTAGTAAGCTTGTACTAAAACTACAGAAAAGAACACCTGCCAGGGGATGACACCTTGATGAGGAAGGTGGAAGAGAGGATCAAGGACATAACATTTCACTGTGCAAAAAGTGCATCAAACACTTGAAGGATGCTTATTGCAAGACAAAGAGGCAGCATGACTAGAAATGCCTATCTGTCCCTTCTGCAGGGAACCAGACTGGCTGCTTGCCACCACATTGCGTATGGAACCCCCAGTTCAGTATGGCAGGATCTTGAGGAGGAATGGGCTGAATTTTAGGCCAGAGGCAGAAAATAGGAACAGCACTAGAGAAAACCCTCACCAGCAGGCTTGCAGGAACAAGACCCCTGTTCTGAAACAATGCCCTAGAGTAGGTCATATAGTGGGAAGGGTTAACATAGGTATTAGACCTGTATTCCAAGAAGATGGACCTTGGGGTTAGGGATGGACCCAGGGAACAGCTCAGAGAGGAACCAGCACAGGAATCAGAGCTACAGCCATGTAAGTGGTTCCCACTGTTTTTGTTACAGAGGAAAATGCAATCTAAATGGGAGGCATTTCCAAGAAATAACTAGTAAAACTATTGCCATGCCTCCCATATTACATACACAAGGGGAAAACTTTGGCTTCAGGAAAAAGCAGAAGCAGCTATTTTTGTTGTGTCTTATTGTGTTTTCCTAGTATTGTCCCTTAAGGCCAAAGTCCTCATGTTCAGCACTGCAGGGATCAGTTGCTTGTGGCAGTTTTGCAGCACTGGGACACCATGTTCTCTGCCATGAGGAGCCAGAGGCATCCTTGGTTCCTGTCCCTCCACAGGACTGGACAGGGTCAAGTCAGAGGCAGAGCAAGTATAAGTTATGCATATATCTACTGAGGGCAACTGTTAAGATCCACCCTGGATATGATTCCAGAGAGTTATAATAATAAATGTTAGTTCAACACAGGAGTGTCCAGAATGTTGTTGTTGAATTCACAACATATCAGTTTTCCTTCTCATTCCTGCAAACCCTTTCTATACGTGATCCAAGCTCAATGGCTCAATGTTTAGTTTGAGAGGAGATAGTAGGGTTCCCAAGGGGTTCTTGTCGTAAGTCTGATACTGCTTATTTGGAGGATGTGACTGAGTGCATACTTAGCAAATTTACAGATGACACCAAGGTGTGTGGAGTTACTGACAGTCTGCAAGATTGGATTAGTGCTCAAAATGACCTGGATAATCTGGAAAAATAGCTCAAAATTAATTAAATTAAATTAAATTCCACAAGAACAAAGTTAGGACAGAACAATCATATGCACAACACTTCTTCCTCCAGGGTTAAATTTAGCACTACTTACTTCATTTGTATCGCTATAGGATCATGTACACATACCAGTAATAGCTGCTGCATGCTCCTAAGTGGCAGCTTTGCATCTCTTTTGAAACTGGTCTAAGGAGACGTTTTTCCAGGTCATGAGTGGAGATTTGATAATTTTTTAGATACCTGAAAAGTAGTTATAAAGAGAACGGTGGTAGACTATTCTCTGTGGTTCCAGAAAAGAGGACAAAGCAACAGCTTATAGTACAACATGGGAAATTTGGGTTAGATATTAAGAACTTTCTCACTATGAGAGTGGTTAAGCATTGAAACAGATTACCTAGAGAGGTTGCTGACTCCCTATCCTCAAGTGTTTTTCAAAGCAGCTAGACTAGTGATTCTCAACCAGGGTGATGCAAATCCTTTTAAGGGTGCCACAGGATGCTGTGCAATATTAGCTTGCTTAGGTGTGCAACCACCTATTCATGATTCACAAGATAAACCTAGAAATTACAAGCAGGTTATCTACAGGATCAAAAACATTTTGACCTGTTGTGGTCTTTCGTTAGTTCTTTGCAACAGAAAAATTATTAGTATTACTACTAAATAATATTATTTTTCCATAGTCAAGAAATGAGTGAAAGCTAAGACCTGGCATTTTCCCTCGAGTCTAATGAGGGGTGCCTTGAGTCTAGAAATATTGAGAACCACCGGCCTAGGCAAACACTTGACTGCAACAGTTTATAAACAGGGGTAGTTCTGCCTTGGGCAGGGGGGTTGGAGTAGACCCCCTGGGGCCCTCTCTAGCCCAGCTTTTCCTCTAATTCCAAAATGGATTCCAAGTAATGGGAAAAAATTGCATATGCAATAGGGGACCCAGTCTTACTAAAACTGTACTGACTACTAAATAAAATTTAGAAGTGTTTGCTCTTCTCACCTCTGATTATATAGCAGTATGTAGCTGTATGGAGATGGAGATCATCTACCAAACATGAGTGCATATTGCAGCATACTGCCCTTTAGAAATAGCATACTGGTCAACTGAAATAGAGTTAAACTATTATTAGCATTAAGACTACTTGCAGATGTTAAAAAAAAAAAAAAAGCGGCACCTCATTTTAAACTCAGTGTACTCCCACGCCGAGCCCAGTGCATGCCCAGAAGAGGTAGCGTGTTAGTTGGACCTGGCTTGCCTGACATCTGTATACATTGGTCATTTTAGTGGGGCTTTTTTGGTGCTTTTATCTAATAGCTGATTGAATCAGCTTTAGATAAAGGCACCAAAAAGCTCCACTGAAGTGCCTGATGTACAGATGCTGCAGAGCCAGGTCAAAGTAATATGTTGTTTTTTCTGGTAGTGTTTTTTTGTTTTGTTTTGTTTTTTTTGGGGGGGGGTGTTGTTTTTTTTAACATCTGCAAGCACCTTAAAATGTTATCCCAAGTCACCTGTATTATAAACTACAGCACCTGAATTGAAGTTCTTGTGCTGGCAGTCCTCCTTTTGCAGCATGCTGCCACGCCTGGGGAATTCAGTTAGCAAGCCTATTCTGCCTAATAGAGCATACACAGTTAATGTTTTCCTGAATTTTCTCTTGCTCCTGGCTGGGGATGCCTGAGCATTTTTCACAAAGGAACTGAAAATAGATTAGTGAGATTCATGAACTAGGCACACTTCCAGTGACTGCCCTATAGCTCACACGCTCTGTCCATACCATAAATTGTCTGTAGTCTGGCACTATGACCAGTAGTGGTTTTTGCACAAGCCAATACAAAGATAAAAGAACGTTATACTAAGCAGACAAACGCCTCAACCTCTGGCCTTGCCATGAAACAGAATATGAAAGGGGTAGATTCTTTTCTTTCATTTTACAGATAAAACAACAGCAGCCCCCTAAACACGTACGTACCAATTTCCGTGTCAGGTCCTTCCACTTCTGCCGAGTCCAAGCAGCTATACAGAATCTTGACTGAATCAGTATGAGGTAGAGAGAATGTGCAGAGATGGCCTGCTGCTTGACATCATATGAACTTTAGGTATGGCTAGATGGACACTTGCACAACTGAAGAGGGAAGGCAGAACAGCATACGGAGTGGGCAGAGACTGAGGAAGAAGGAGTGGCCATACCGTTCCTATTACATGACTCAGAAGACAAGGAAGCTGGACAAAGCACAGCAGGAACCATCTGCATGACTGCTCAACCGGATGATCACCAGGCTGCAGTCCCCTGCACTTGTATTTCTTCCAGTTCTCTCACATTCTCCTCCATATTACCATGTCCTGCACTGGACAGTTTGGGGGTGGATGAACTGTGAACCTTTCCATGGTCCCTGTTCAATCTAACTCCATACAATCAGAACTGAGAAGAACAGACACCCAGTTCACCACTAGTAGAACTGTACAACTTGCATTTCCCTTAATGGCACACTTTAGTATGTGTGTGCATATTTTTTACTCATTTGTTTACAGGCAGCTAGGATTCAATGCTTTTGAAATCACTGTTTATTTTAATACCGTTTCCTTTTGTTACAAAATTAGTATAGTTGTACAATAAGTTAGTATCGCCTTTTTCATTGGAATAGAAGAATCAAGGACTTGTATCCAAAGCTTTTAATAAAAGATCAAACTTTTTTAAGCACAAAGGCAATTAGAAATTGATACATATACTTGTGTAGGACAAAGCATCACCTTTCCCCACCATGCCCCATTTTTACACAAACATTACTGCATACTGCAGGGATGCAAGCACACGAGCCCCAACTCCACTATTTTCCTTCTGCTTGACTGGACCTAGGCTCAGCAATGCCAAAGAAATTTTCTGACTGTCTGTACTAGCGCTGCAAACCAACAGTGTCTTGAACCCGCCCCTGGTGAAAATTCTTATCCTTGCAGATATCATGCAGAGTATAGCATGCCACATTTATACAGATGGCTTTGACACTGGCATCCAATAGATCTAATATGCAGTGCCTGCTTGTCTTCAGCTTGTCTCAGACACACTCCACCAGCAATCTGCAACTGCTTAGTGTGTGATTAAATCATCTGCTGCCAGGTACACTATGGTCAGGGTAACATTTGTATAAGCCATGGGTCCAATGCAGCCAAACATGAATTGATGATCATGGTATTTGGTGGGGAGATTTCCCTTTTCTCCCAACAAGTAAAACTCCAGATTTCTTCAGCACCCTGTCATCATGAACCCTGCTGGTTCATTCTGCACTGGCATTCAGGAACCTATCTTTACAGGTGACAAAGTTCTGCAGAGGAACTGAACTAACTTCTGGCTGTCTTCCTGCTCCATAAAGGACAACAAGAGTATAGGGAGCTGCAATTTACTGATTCTCTCTCATTATTTCTTCTCAGAGGCACATTTACCTTATCACCCAGGCACATCTATCACAAATCACTTCTCACATTTATAATTAATGGAAACATGATTAAACATCATCTGCCTAAGGCAAACATAAAAATGTGAACATAGATACAAGCACCTCTGGCAGTTGGCTATGACCTGGAATACAGGTAAGAACTTTGAGCTGTCTCTTCACCAAAACCCAAATTCTGCTAGATTCAGCCAGGAAAATAGAGGATGATGTTTGAAGACACTCTTTTGCAAACAGTGGCCACAAGTCAAGCAACAGAAGAGTCCTTATGGTAGAAGTGGGGAGAAGTGCTGTGAAACACAAACAAAAAGTAGCTTTCACTTACTCCCGAAGCAGGGAGGAGTTTTGTTTTTCATGGAAAAGATTAGCCCTTTGTGAACTTTCCACTAAATTTGACTGTCCAGCCTGAAACACCAAGGGGACACAGGTGGTGTGCCCGCTGGTCAGTAGCTAGCAGGTCATATTTGCTGTCACAAACAAAGTTGTTTTTATCCCCAAAACTACCAGTACCTAAGTCAGGCTCCAAGAGCCAGCAATGATACAATCCAGGAGCAAAAAAGGATTTTTCTATACATGAATTACAATTTCAGCTGATATCAATACAAGTAGCAGCTGCTTAGCACCTGTGGGAATCAAACTAACTGTACTGTACTTTGGACACAGAGTGAACAGGTGAATAAGTTTCAGCTTTTCATTGCTGAAAACCTAATACTTCACCTTCCTCCCAGGGCATGCTACATTTTTCCAGGTGACTCTCCCTCAATGGTCCCCTTGATTTGGCTTCTTATCTGTTCCTCCCAATCCAAAGTGTATGTTTTTGGCCAAAACTTTCTCCCAGAATGTTCCCATCCCAATGATCAGGATATTTCCAGAACTGGATCAGAGAAACCTCCCTAACTGCTCTGCTTTCCCAGTAGTTTCTCATATCAACATCTCAACAAACTTGTGGGTAGTGATGGCTAGAAAATGATCTTTAGAGGTTTGCTTTTGGGAATTGGCTTGTGGGTAAATATATATGCATTAGAATAATGGTTCAGGACAGCAGCAAGTGTTAATTGATTTCTAAAGGTCTGGTTCTCACACAGCTTCATAGCCTTCAAGGCAGACGGGATGTCTCAAACAACAAGGCCAACACATATACACATAGCCTGGGAAATTGGAGGCATGTACCACACTGTTCCATAACATGAGATAAAGTGACACCAGCTCACAAGGTCCAAGAGTGGGGGGCCTGAAAGTTCCAGTTTTGGGGAGCAGATCAAATTAGGAAAAGGCCCGGAAAGCCCAAATTAGGATGGGTGTATGTGATGGGCTTGTAAAGCAAAGGAATATACTGACAGGATGGAACGTGGACAGCATTATGACCACAGAAAGACTAATCAGCAATAGCCACGGATGAAGAGTCATCAGGAGGGGAACAGAATACAAAAGCAGAGACTTTAGAGCAACAAAGAAGGGTCCCGGAGAGGGGTTCCCCCCCACCCCAAGAGGGGAACCCGAGGCACCATGGACAGAGGGCACACTACCAGCCTGTCTCATCCACCCCACTGGAGTGGGGTGGGTGTCTCGGCCTCCAACCTCCAGGCTGCTGACATCTGACATTCAAGAGAGAACCTCAGAGTGAAGCTCACAACCTGGCCAGATGCATCTTGACTCTGATGACAACCCTAGGATTGGTAGCTATAGAATTGCTTGCATTATTTTTTTCTGTTATCTCTGTGTAGCAATAAATTTGCCTATTATCAAATGGAAAGGTCATGGATGGTTTGAGGGTTTTGGGTTCCCCCCGGAACAAGGCATCCGGGTCATAAATCCAGTGTCGCATGGCTCTTTGAATTGTTCAACCATTGTAACTGTGGCTGTGTGTGCACACTTGTGCAGGCATCCTACAAGAGTAAATATATGGATAGTATTCTTAACCCTTCACCAAAGCGTTCTAGAAGCTCAGTGGCGTTCAGAGCTTATGCTGCAAGGCAGACAACCTATGAAGCCATCCAGCTGTCAGATGCTCCATCTGGAAACTTGCCAGTTTCCTAAAAGATAAGCAGATCTTTAGGGAGCATGTAGAATAGATGTGGTCTATCTTGCTTACACAACATTCCTATCAGGTAAGGGTTACTATTATTTGACTATAATTTTAAAGGTGACCTAAGGGGTGCCAGAGGAAAGAATGTTATTTGCAAGTTGGTTTGATTTGATTTGGTTTCATCTCCTTCAGCCCAGTGATTCCCACCAGGGAATTCAGCTTTTGTGACACGTAAAGAAACTTACTCTTCCATGTTTTAAGCGGTCTAGAAAAGGATATCAAAGTATTTAGAAAAACTGAATGAATGGAGTAGATATGATGCAGCAAACTATTGAGGATTTTGATTTAAATTTGCAACACCTCAGTTTAGACAGTGTCATATTCAGAGGGTTCCTTAGAGACTGAAGCTGTGCTAAGGACTTTCAACAGGCTCCACAGGCAAGTGTTCTCTTCTCTCAAATTCTCAAACCCACGCCATTGCCCAAATGCACCAGGAACATGAAACTCCTATATTTTAAATCACAGGAAGTGTATCATGAAACTACCACCAATATAGCAGCACCAAGGATATGTTAAGTAAATGTAAGGCAAAGGCAGTTTTGGGTACATTTTCTACTATGTCATTCACACCAAATTTAATTGGCCCAAATTTATCTCTGTGACATAGTAGTAGCACTCTAGAAGCTGTCAGAGCCTGGTTCATCCTGCTCCTGCTGCAGCGGGACATGTAATAGCCAAATACAGAATTTATTTTCTAACTTCCTATAAGATGCACAAGTTTACAGCACTACTGGTATATAGGGGTGCACTAATAAGGATTTTCTTGGCCAATACTGACAGCCAGTTATTCAGTAGTATATCAACCAATACTAATCAGATAACTGATTTACAGGAATGCAGCCAGGCAGCATGAAGCCCTGCAGGTAAGTCTGTGGAGGGGAAGGGGTGTGGGGGAGCGAAGGGGCGTGGAGGGTGCAGATTGAGAGCCCCACGATGAGGGAGGGAGTGGGGCAGGGGCTGGGTGGGGGCGCTGCCCAGCCAGTGTGGTTAATGGTACCCAGGGGCCAGGGCGGGGAGCAGAATGGAGCCGCGGGTGGCTCATCCAGGGAATCAGCATCCCAGCACTTAAAAATGGTAGCAGGGATTGCTTGAACTAAAACTTGTCGAAAGAGCTTTAGTTCAAGCACCACCACTACCACTTTTAAGTTTGGGGATACTTTTAGGAGCAAAGCCAAACAGGGGGAGGGTGGAGAAGGGCTGCCTACTTTGGGCTCAGGGTTCTCTGCCCTGCTGCCTTTGCCTCAGGAGCCATGCACTGGCTGTGCCGTGTCTCCTGCCTGCCCAGCAGCAGAAGACAACTCGCCGCTGCCACTGCTAGTGGGCAGGGGATGTATGGCCAGCACACAGCTCCTAAGGCAAAGGCAGAAGGCTGGAGTTCCTCAAGCCCACAGCAAATAGCCTACCTCTGCCTCGCACACAAGTCTGGGAGGGCACATGCCCCACATGGCTCCCCCGGGGGGTGCACGCAGTGGTGGGGAGCCACACATGGTTCCACCCTGTTCCCTGCCCCGGGGTCCACTTTACCACTCTGTCTGGGCAGCGACCCAGCCCCACTCCCTCCCTCACCATGGGGACCTCTATCTGCTCCCCCCCATGCCACTTCCCCTCCACAGACTTACCTGCACACTACCTGGGTGCAATCCTGGCCATGTGTATGCTGTGGCTGCATGTATACAAGCAACATCCAGGGGCCAGAGCCAGAAGACATATTGTATTTATCAGTACATTAATCAGCTACACCAGCCAAAAAAAGCCAATAATGTTAATTTTACTTTTTTATCAGTGCTGATCCAATATAGCACTGATATATTGGTGTACCTCTACCAGTATGGATCTGTTAAGAGTTGTGGATCATATCAGAGGGACAAAGGAATCACTTAGGAGTCCTAAAAAATGCCCCTATACAGCTAGAAAAATGCTGCTCCCCAGCCATCCTAAATCATGCAGTCACAGCCACTGAAATTACCACAAACCCAATTCAAATCAATGGTTGACCTGGTCAACCACCACACACAAGGCCTGCCAAACAGCATTCCCAAGGGCCCAGTGGACAGTATCACCAAGTCCAGCCTTAGTACAGATTCCAAATCTTTCCAAGACTAGAATTTGGCCCTAAGCAAGGGTTTAAGAAAGACAATGAAGAGGAACCCACACTAGCTATTAATTCTCTTTTCTTCTTTTGATGAGGTTCTGATAGGTCCAATAGCTACACTTGATTATGGGTTAGAAGGACACTGATTGGACTACCACTGTTACTTGGCAATGATACTAACAAAGCAGAAGGCTGAGATCAACAACTGGGGGGCCTGAATAATGTAGGATTGACACAAAGTATGGATGATATGATTTACACTATAAATTGATTTCCAAATTGCTGCTGGGAATTGCAGTTCCTGTTTGTTTCTTTTTCATTTTTTAACTGGGTAAGTCCTAGAAACAAAACAGCCACCTCCTCAAATATACTGACATTTGTAAACTGTCTGTACATTTGACAGAACACTATATAACCTCCAGAAACACACCATCTCCAGAAGGGGGATAGGGAGATCAATCCACGCCTAAAAAAGGGGATTAGAATGCTTTTACCTGGCTCCACTTTGGAAAGATATTTGCTAGCCTGGCCTGCCATACATTCCTGAAAAGCAAGAAGAATGGGTACACATTCCTGATAAAATGGGATAACACGAGGCACCAGTGTAAGTTAACCCCTTACCTAAACAGCAGAACTAACACTGATATCTTATTTATTAGCTCTCCAGGGCAGACGGATGCCCATAGAATTCTTCAGCACAATAAGAGGCGTGCGTGTGTGCATCCACTTGACACATGAATCCTTTCACAGATCTTGGAGGTCAGATACTTTGCTGAAGTCCCAAAATATCATTAATGGCTGTGCAGTAAGAAGAGGCAGCTACTTCACTCCAGGGAAAACAGGACCCCAGGTCTCTAACACCATTTACATAGACAATGGCTCTGTGGAAGAGACAGGATAAAGTCCTACCCATGTCTGAACACTTCATGATTTGGTAATATATAGCAAATGGAGAATCCTAGTGAATAATTACCACTTGCATCTTCACCAGAACAGAAGGAATCCTATTCAAAGCATGAGGGAGTAAACATGCACATGTACAGCTGAAGCCCCCTGGGTAGTCTAGGCTAGGTAAGGCAAATGAGGGCTAATATCCAAAGCCAAGATTTCAGTCAATAAGTGAGCCCATGTCTTCCTACCAGGTCAAGACAGGAAACTATCTTTTCCAGTCCTTAACCTGGTGATGAGCATTGGAGAATAGATTGGCCCAATGTTTCCATAATACTCTGCAGAAGGCTAGGCCAAAATACAAAACTAGGAGTTCAAAAGGGACAGCTGAACATTGGGAAAATAAATAACATTTCTCCATTCCAGAATTTCTTTCAGCAGACTGGCTGATCCAAAGGTCTTCTTCAAGCTTTTTCTCACTCTTTTCCTAGAAACTCAATGATGGTTCTTTTCCTACCTGGAAGAAATTAACCTAAATAAAACTGGACTCTTTCCTTGTTGTTGATTAGGATGAGCCTGGCTGCAAAAAGTCTTCTTAGCTGACAAATACTTAAAAAAAATTGCAAGCAAGAAAACAAACCCAATAAGCTGCGAGTCTAGTTTAATACCATACAACATACTCTTTGAAACTAAATGACCAATAAGAGACTCTCCTGGACCCCAAAGGAGAATATTTAGCAGCATATGCAACAGACTGTGGCCAAAAGAAACAAACATCTAGTAGGTGGTTCTTCCAGGCAACTCCCCCTCCCCCCGCCACTTCACCTGCAAAGGTTCTAGCTCTCCAGTTTGGGTGACCTGGATAGCATCTGCTTTCCTTACTTCTTCAAAAAGAAGTTTAGAATGCTTCCCCAGCCCTATAACTCACACTGCCCCTAGGAACATTCTTGCTGTCAGACATCTTCTCCACCAGCCTGCTTTATATGATCTACAACAGTCTCTCTCAGACACCATTTGTTACTGACAAGATGAATTAATCAAAGTGCATATTACAAATGACAAACCCCTGTTGTTCCCTGTAGTATCAAAGGTTGCAATTGTTAATATTACCCCAGCTCAAAGCAAAATGGTACTGTTACTAATCAGAGGAAAATTGTACAATAACCAACATCTCTCCCTCAAGTCTAAGTAAATCTATGCTGGAATGCAGTCTGATGATGCAACTGCTAAGCACTGTAGATCAAAGAGTAGAGAGGGTGTCAAACCACCACTAGAGATGACTATGGTTATTGAAGTTGCTAGGGAATTGGGAGGATTTCAGAGCACAGTGTATGCAGGAGGAATGCTTGTGGTTCAAGAGTGGATTTCATGGTAACAGAGAGTCAGCATGGTATCAAAATATACATCTGGGTTGAAAGAATATGCCAGAAAGGTATCCCACAGTCTTCCAAGATTGGAAGTCACAGGATTGGTGGATATACAGGTCAAACTGCAGCCCTAATCTGTATATAGTTTAAAGCTCAGGAAAGTAAGAGCTGCCAGCATGTGTGGATGGCTCAGTGAGGGATTAGTTTCTAGCTCATGATGAGCTTCACATTTCCTCTTGACACAGCTCCAAAAGAACAAGTCAACCAGAAAGAGAAAACACAGTCTAGTTTTACTGCCTGGCACAGGTTTCAAATATCAGACAGTTGTAAAAGCATTAATACTGTTTGTTGTGCTTTCAGGAGAGCAGAATCTAGCAACCTTTCAATTTATGGCAGAATATTGCTCCTCTGCTAGAGCCAGGATTACTCCAAGTAAAAAAAAGCTCAACAGTGGAAATGGAAGACTAGAGTGGTGTCTTCACACTTGGATACTAAAATTCAAGCTAAGCTACCATCTATAAAAGACAGGGAACAAGCTCTTAAAGAGGTACCTCCTTTCTGGTTGGAGCAGGGGAAGGGAAATACCTAAGCTTTTACTTACCTAGTCAATATACCTCTCCAGCGAAGTCACAACAAGTCCATGGACTTCAGTGTGAAGGGAGGGAAAACTACCCTGCTGTGGTTTAAAATGCTAAGATGAACTTTCCAGCCATTCATTCCCCAAATCCAAATACCACCAATGGAACTACAACATCCTTTTCTTACAGAAGCACCCATCCTCTATGCAAGTAATGGGGGATTGGTCTGCTATGAAGACTTGCACCAAGGGAAATTAAGACTGAGGGACTTTTATGAGGATAATGGAGGTTTGTAGTAATAAATTCAAGGGGAGTAAAAATACCATTCTGCTTTTGTTTTTAATTAATTCCAAACATGATTTCTTCTAAGACTTTTGCACAGAATGGCTTATTAGTAAATCAGCCCTTTGTCTGGTTGATACCAGGTAAGCCAGGTGAAGTAATGAGAGAAGCAGTTTAAACCCCATTTAAAACAAAATCAACCATTTTTTCTTGGGAATTACACAACAAAAAGAACAAAGGGGAAGATGAAATAAAAACACTCCCATAGATCCTACCCACCCCCACCTCCCTGCCCATCTTCCCCAAAATTAACATAACTAATTATGGATCTGGGTTTTTTTTTGTTTTTTAAAGAGGTGGAGGGAAAGCCTCTTGGGTTCA